CACAACACAAGCTGTCAGGAAATACCACATAAAAGCCCCCGATGCCCTGTACAGCAACCTGACAGCTCCACATGCCACAAGAGCTGACCCTGCCTCGACCGATCCATCCTCGAACCTCAAACACGAGGGGGCGGGAGGGGGGGGGGTACTCATAGTCGTGCATGCCGTAGTCGTTAGACCATTGACCTCGCATCCCTACAAAGCCGGGACGGAGCACGCCGGGTTCTCACCGGACCAGGCTCTCACATCACCAAGCGCGAAGCGCCGTGAGGTATTCGGCGAGTCGCACGAAGGGTGCGCTGCATCCTGCTAAGGGTGTTTGGCATCTGTGCTTACTTCCTTGCGTAAGGATGACAGCTGCGTATGACTTAATTTATTTTCTGGTGCTTTCACTTCCAGAGACAGCCACAAGCACTGTGTAACTACCTCGAGGATGTTCTACCATTTTAACACAATGTGGTGCGATCATCCCCCTTGCGCGGAGTGAGGGTTCTCGACCCCGCACAACATGATCTACTCGACCACCATTATGGTTACGGCAAAGAAAAAAAAACAGAGGTAAAAAAATACCCGGTAACCTGGTTGCCGAGTTCACGAAGTGAAATGGCTTGTTTTACAACGTCGTTGCCAAGCGACGAAAACCCAACCCCGATGGCAAACACCGAGGGCGGGGGAGCAGGGATAAAATATCCGGCTCACGTGCCCCTCCGAAAGTACGCTTTCATTTATTTAGCCAGAGAGTACTTAAAACCAACTCATCGGGTTCACGACTTGATTGAGCGGGCAGGTCGAGTGGATTCTTAGGGGACGGGGGGGGCGGGACTAGCAACCAACACCAACAAACTTTCTTGGCCCACCCCGACTCCTAACCCACTACGGCTGATGAACCCCTCTAGGAATCTAACCACCGTTTTTATCTTGTCATGGCGGCATCTATGTGGATATGTGGATATATTCAGGTGTGGTACGGTGATGCCGTGGCTGAATCCGAGCACGTGACATTCCGTACTCCATTGATCACGATACTACAGTAGGGTAAACATAAGGAACATAAGAACGGGGACTCAGAGAGGTTCGATTCTCCCTGGTCTTAAGCCGCACCTTTCGACGAAGAGGCAACAGTTTCGATTCTTCAAGGAGGCGGTCTCGTCCTAATGCCTCTGCCCATCATCCATCTTCACTCAAAACCACCTGGGAGAGAGCAGCCCGCCCACGATTACACTTACGCCTGCCCTCTTGTCCTTCCTATCACGTGCAGATACTTCTGCTGATACCAGCGCATTGAGACCGAATATTCGTTAGTCTGACCTCCACTCAAGCCAAGACCCCACCTCCAGACACCAGCTCAAGAGCGAGACAGAGGGGGCGATACAGAGAGAAGACAGGACTACAAGCTCAGACCGCCGTGAGCAGTCAACGTTCGCGATCATGGGCAGGGTCAAGGTGAATCAGTACCATCTTTATGAACTTTTTAGAACCGCTGTATGTAACGAGATTCTCTTGTAACAACAACGAACTTGCCCGTACGTTACTTGAAACTTGACGACTACAGTTGGCGCCCGTAGTCAAGAACATCTTCGTTCGTCGAGGCTCGCTTCTTATTCTATGGAGTAGCCCAACGCCGGCTGAATATATTTACATGCGGTGTACTGGTAGACTCCTCGAGTGAGCGCTTGTTCTTGTTGCCAAGTTTTCCTTTATAGCCTGAATTTCTGAGCCCTCCAGGTTTCGGAAGTGCGGGCTCAACTCCTGTGTAGTAGGTATGGTGAATGACAAGGCTTCAACATTCACGACAAGAGAAATACGTAGACTATACTCCAACATGTCGATGGGGTAGGGCCTCGCAATATTTATTTGTTTTGTGGTGAAGGAATTGCGGTGGTATCGCTCAGTATGTTGGCACGCGTATTTCTTCTTGACCTAGTGTGTTCTCCTACCGAGTTCTTCCGTTATGTGCGGTATGTACCAACAAAGTACACTAGGAGTGGGTCGATTCGAAACCGGTGACCACTTAATTTGAATGTGGCACTCAGCACAACAGAGTATTGTTCCATGTGCAAGATAAAATGGCATATTTATAAACACCATGGCGCGGGCACACATCTCGATTCTAACCAGAAACAGATGCCCCATCATGACGCAGGAATAATGTTTTCGTAACACTAACCCATGCAACGACAAGACGGTGGCGAACCTTATTTTTACCGTTTCGCACGGCAGTCGATGGATGGCTCGAAAAAAATAAAAATGATCCACGTGTTCACGACCCTCCTCACGTTTTCCCCTCTCCCACTTGCTCCCACCCCCCCAGACCACCAGAATAATCCTCCACCAGAGTGCCCTCAGATCGCGCTGCGCGCCCAAGACCCAACCATCGCAGCACAACACGGCCGTCCTCTCTCATGTTCCAGAGCCGGATCCTGTGGATTGAAGATGCAGGCCTCGACACAGCACCTGTTTCCAACGGAAGCTACGTAGCTGCGGCAGCCAGCGGTGGGTTGATCACAGGCGAGAAAGATTACCATGCATGTGATGTGTAGCCAGCCCCATTAGCTTCTCCCTCTCCCAGAGCTCTCAGAATGCTCTGCTGGCCCTCTCGGCCGGGCGTTGAGAGTGCGGCTGCGAGAAGAAACAGGCACATCGCCGCTGTCTGTGTTGTCGGCTTCCCGCTCTTGGTGTGGGGAAGTGGGTTTGGCGCGTGAGAGGATCTCACAACAAACACAGCAGAAAGCCAGAAGAAACCGCTTTCTTCATCGATTGAATAACGCCTCTATCCAAGATGCGGGATAACGTGCACACTTTGGGCTGCAACCTCCCGCAACCTCCCCCCCCAGGTTGTAGTTGGTGCCCCAACCTAGCCACAACCTGCCTCTCGCCACCAGTGTAATTTTGGGTGCGAAAAAAACAGACAGGCAACATACCTGCGGGCGAGATCAGCCCGTGACACGGCTGTTGGCATGTCAATTGTTGAGAAGCCCGATTACCACTAGACCACTAGTCAGCGCTAACTCGTGGTCTAGTCTAAGTGGTCATCTTGCTCCTCCACAAAAGATCTGATGGAGCAGACGCAGCACGAGGGCGAGGGCGTCCAAAGATGGGCCTCTCCCAAGAGTGCCAACGAAAATACATGTCCTATTGATTCAAGCAGTGCACAAACTGGTTAAATTAACGATGAATACGTCAAAACACACGTTCTCTCGATGGACAACAACGCTGGGTCAAACATTTTTTAAAGCATGCACAGATCCTACTTGTTGCTCATCATATGGCCGGCCGTGAACGACCCGGTCGTGGCTGAACGGTCCGGCCGTTGCCAGTCCAATCACCGACGTGTGATGAACAACCCCAAGTGACCGTCAGGTCGACAGGACTAGGATCCAGAGTATGAAGTACCAAGCGCTCGGCCAACATTCGACAAAATGGAAACTACACAAAGTGACCCGACGGGCAGGTGTTGGGCCACACAAAGGGTTCGTGCAACGGTTTGGGCGAAAGGCAGTGCTCAAAGCCAAAATCCAACGTCCTTGCGAATCCTTCAGAAGATTCGATACCCTCTACGCGCAACACTGAACCGCCACCCCCTAGTACCCACCAGGCAATGAGGCAGGCGATCAGCAAGGTAACCAGAGAGGATATTTCTCCGAGCCGGCTGCACGAAGTCTCGCTCGAGGGGGAAAACGTGTTTATTGTTCGCGTGTGTACGATATTCCTCGTTACGGCGCGGCCGCACTCGATAAAAGCGGCAGCCAACGAACAACACACAGCGTCAACGCAAGCAATAAACATAACAAAAACAAAATGCAGATAGAACAGCGAAAATGCCGGCCGCAATCCGCCCACCCCCCTCACATAGGAAAGGATTTTCTTGTGGATTGTTCAAGCTTGTTGTTTACGACTCTTCTACGCTGGGAGTGATGCTCTGCCGTACTCACCCCCTAAACGCACGTGCCTTGAGTGGTATCCACCTTCCATTCACATATCCCCCCGTCCCACCCGCCAAAACTCAGAAACTTCTCCCTCGTCCTCGTCCTCGTCCTCCTCCTCCTCCGAATGACTCCCGAGATGTTGTTCCTCCCTCCTGTCCTCGCTTCGTCGTAGGCAAAATCAGGACCAAAGCTATCTTTCCGCCTCTCTTCATTCCCGATGCTCGTATGTCTTCTCAAGCCGTCGAGATTGCCACTACTGTCTACATCCGCTCCGCCTTCGTCCTTTCCTTCGACGCCCCACCGATGCACCGGAAAAGGACGCGCGGATGCGACGGAACCACCCGACGGTCGTCGATTACCGGCGCCCGTCCTCGCCCCAAAGAAATGACCTCCCCCGTTACCGCTACTGCTGTACGAATGTCGGGGCATGGGCTGCTGCTCTAGACGAGGAGCGGCCGATCGCCCTTCAGTTGCATTTTCCCTCCCGGGATCAGCGTTGCGATCAGCAGGAGTGCCAGCAACACCGGCAGGTTGGCAACCGGGTCATGGGTAAGGTGTCGAAAGGGATGATGGGAGGGAGGCCCGTGCTGTCATCCCCTGGTAGGGGAGGGGTACGCTACCTCTCCGGTCGACTCCGGCGCTACTGCTGCTGCCGCCGCCGCCGCCGCCGCTGTCTTCTTCCCCGCCGGGGGGATACGGGTGCGAAGCAGGAGAGGAACCCTCTTCAAACGAGACTACACCCCCACGGCCTTGCCTCCGCCCGACATCAATCGGCAGCTCGTCTCTTCTCCCGCCGCGAAAACAATGTACCCCACAAGTAGCACCGGCGGCGGCGGCGGCGGCGGCGGCGGCGGCTGTCGCGGCATCCGGAAAAGGATAAAAATGAGGACCACGGAGTCCTTCCTCTCCTAGCGCTAACCGCGGCAACGGTGTCGGTGACAGCAACCGGTGAGTATGCAACAGTGCGTGCGCAACGCCGGCGCCGGTGCTGGCGGGGCACTTTCGGACGGGGTCGGGGTCGTAGGGATTCACGGCGACCCCCGCGGGCCAGAGGAAGGACGGCGGCAGTATCAGTCACTCTAGCGCGGCGCGGTGGCAGACCGGGGCGTGGCTCGTCCTCAGCGATGGGTCGAACAAGAGGCGTTCCGTGCTGTGATAGGAGGGAGGGGGGGGCATGCAAATATTAGCGGAAGGTCGATTGCCCCTGTTTTCGGGCTTTGGTTCGAGGTTGTTGCCAGGTATTTGGCTGCGAGATTGAGGCGTTTTGTGGCGCGAAAAGTAGGGGTTGGGTGGGAGTAGGGCGTGCTCATCGTCACGCACGCCCGTAGTCCTCAAAACGTTGGCCCTGGCACTCGGTAAATGCGAGTTCGGGCCGCGTCGGGCAAAATACGCATAGGCACGTGCCACGTTTCGGGGGTACCGCAGTTATCGGCTTTTGGGAGCTTCCAACGGAAGTCGTGTCTTGAGCGACCGCCACGAACAAGAGATTCTCCGCGCTGCCACAGGTTTGTCGGAGACGGGTAAAAATCGTCCGTTCCAGGATCGTGGCGTTGTGGGGTAGGGCCTAGGTGAAACGAGGCGTGTCTTCAGCGCCAGGCTCAAGAAAAAAGGGGTATCGTATTGCAACAGAAAAATCGATGTCTTGACGTCTCTTTTCGTATGGATGTGACTTGCAGCGTGCCGGTCGAAAGTGATTCGGGTATCGGTGTGGCCGTGACACGATGTTTTTCACCTCCTGTCCCCTACATACAGTAGCTCGTCTCACCTCTTGTACGTCAGGTCTTCCATGCACGGTCCCATGAACAGCCCCACGCACCTGGCTGGGACTCCCACCGGTACAAGCCTGCAGGAGAGCAAGGCAAAAATGAGAGACACGGAAATCGGCTTGGATCGATCAAAGCCTAGCGAATCCAACTCATCGCGCAGAGTCAGTGTACGTGTTCGTGATGACATGACATGATTGATCTGGCCTCCCTCCAGTACGTCCCATCCACTCCTCTTCCTAGGCAAAACAACTACGGTGTAGGTCGCCACACGTGGACATGATTAGTACACGTGTGACTGCTTCTTGTCGTCAGTCGGTCTCCCGTCCGCTGCTGGCGTGTCGTTCATTGCTCCTTGCCGTGAAGCACACACGGAACTAGCACGGCACGCACGACCGCAATTCGCACACAGAGAAATTGAGGACAGCAGCAATAGACAACGACGGCGACAGCAAAAACTACGGAACCAATGCAGCAGAAATTAACCATTCCAGCAGCACCTCCAAGCAATCGGTGGAAATGCCTGCTTGTAGCCAAAGAGGGTGGCTGACTGACTCCACAATGTCCTCCGCGACGCGCAAGCAAAGCCTGGCATGCAATGAGGTTCACCGTATCGCCGCCAATTCATTCATCCTCACCCAGCACCGACATACACAAATTGCGTGCCCTCTCGCGTCATTTCATTCTCCTCGGCCGACTCGATGGGTCTGAAAATTGCCAGGTCGACCACTGGCGCAGGGTCATCTCGGACATCAAACTGACTGATTCTGCGAAAGCGGTTGCTTCTGCTGATGCCGCCGCCGCAGTAGCGACGGAAGGGTCCTAGCAGAGCGAAGGACGGGCATCGCCCGGAGGAGTCGAAGCCCTAGACACGCAAGTTTGTCGTCGTGACCCACGTGTATGTCGTCGTGATCCACGTGTATGCACCGATCCGAAGATATTCAACCTGCGGTGAAGCAAAAGTGGCAGTTCGAGTATTTTGGGTTTTGTGGAGGTACCCGGTTGGATGTGCAGGGAGCAATATGTATACGATCATTCCGACGACGAGGGCGACGATATAATTTAACATCCACAACGCCAACAATGACAACAACTACTACAACGAACACAGAAAGCGAATTATTAGTGGGCGGTTCGATCACGTCAGAAACGGGCAATTGGAAAGACAGTGCCCGCCTGTAGAGCACCCCTAACGTTGGTTGAACTCACTCCCACCGTGTACGGTGAGACCGGATATCGCCTCTAGTAGCCGAACCCATGGTGCAAGCTCGTTCTTGCGCCGAAAGCGTAATATGCGCACCATCAATACTTTCCTCCTATATCCTAGAGTAATTTCCTCTCAAATCCTAGAGTACTGATAATGTCCGCCCCCCACGAATGAATCTCCCCCCCCCCCCCTCGGGGTTGGGTTTTCGTCGCTTGGCAACGACGTTGTAAAACAAGCCGCCGCCCCCGGTGTTTGCCATCAGGGTTTGGGTTTTCGTCGCTTGGCAACGACGTTGTAAAACAAGCCCCCCACTCGGTGTTTGCCATCGGGGTTGGGGTTTCGTCGCTTGGCAACGACGTTGTAAAAGAAGCCAATTCACTTCGTGAACTCGGCAACCAGGTTACCGTTTTTTTTTTTTTACCTCGGTTTTTTTTTTTGGCGGTAACCATAATGGTGGTCGAGTAGATCATGTTGTGCGGGGTCGAGAACCCTCACTCCGCGCAACGGGGGATGATCGCACCACGTTGTGTTAAAATGGTCAAGCTTCCTCGAGGCAGTTACACGGTGCTTATAACTGTCTCTGGAAGTGAAAGCACCAGAAAGTAAATTAAGTCATACGCAGCTGTCATCCGTACGCAGGAAGTAAGCACAAGATGCCGAACACCCTTAGCAGGATGCAGCTCAGCTCACCCTTCATGCGACTCGCCAAATACCTCACGGCGCTTCGCGCTTGGTGATGTGAGAGCCTGGTCCGGTGAGAACCCGGCGTGCTCCGTCCCGGCTTTGTAGGGATGCGAGGTCAATGGTCAAACGACTACGGCATGCACGACTATGAGTACACCCCCCCCCCCCCCCCCCAGTCATGAGTTGTTGAATAAATTATGCCAACACCTTTGACAGTCATCAACTTGCCGGCATAGCTCAGTGGTAGAGCGGCACCTTCGTAAGGTGTAGGCCGAGAGTTCGATCCTCTCTGTCGGCTATCGTGGCATCAGTTTTTTTTGTGTATGGCATCATATCCGACACCGCCATCCCTGCCTGGCACAGTCCCGCCGAAACGTTTCCACCCACCAAAGGGAAAAATTGCAACGCTTTGGACGCGCGTGCGTCCAGATGCAGGAAAGCTCGCGAGATCTCTCTCGTCTATATGAGGTGCGATTTCAATCAACCCTAAGGCGGTATGGGAGGCGGAGGGGTTGACCGTGCGGACAACTGAGGAGGCAGTTGCTTGTATTCTTGTGGTGTTTTT